AAAAGCACTACAGACGGTTACAATTGAAAACTTAAGCTAAAGTCAAAATCTTAGCAGCTAAAACATTTTTTGTTTATAACACCTACACACGATCAATGGCCGCATTCTACTAACCGGTTGGCTTAGACATTATCCAAGGATTAACTCACAACTGGTTGTCTTGAATAATTTAAGATGGAATCAAGGTGGCATCTCGAAAACCGCATGTTTTTCCAACTTATATTAAAATTCCAGAAAATTAATTCAGAAGCGGTCATTGACCGTCTGATGTTCAGTCCGAATGCTTAATGGATGGTTGTCTGCTGGTTTTGGGGCAATTACCTTTAAAACCCAACATACATTCGTTCAGGGGTAAATACACCTGGGGCATCCGGTAAGCCGCATGTACTAGGTTACTTAGCAACACGTGCATATTGAAGAATTGCAAAAATTGAAAAATTGAAGCAAATATGGCAAAACCGACACAGCCGGCAAATCATATAATAAAACTGACCAAAAGGCCGGGAGATTAATTGACAAACCAGATATACATCCGGGAGAAAGAGAAGTATTGTCAAACAAATAGAAACTCGGCACGCATGCCGGAAACAAAGACAAGATTAATTTTGTTGCTGCTGAGGTGGAGGCATTGTCTGGACCTAACCGGATGGGAGCTCGCTTTCAGGTTGCCCGGGTTGAGCTTGGACAGTATCAATTTGCGCTTGCTCTTGATCATGGGGCTTCTCATCCTCATGCTCCTCGTCAGACGGCTCAAGACCGAGAGCCTGGGCACCGTATGCCTCAGTGGCATACTGGTACCTCAAGTTGAAGAACTCTTAGTCATAGTCCAGGTGGATGAGACTCCATGCTATCTTCATGCGTGCTTTGCAATCACGCTCAGTCTCACCCACCAGCCGCTCTTTCTCGGCCGCCAGCTCCGCCTTGTGGTCAGCCTGCACCTGGGCCAGCTCGTCCTTCAGCCGGGAGACGTCTACCCTAAGTTGGGTATTCTCCTTATCAGCGTTCTCCAGTGCCTTTAGATCTGACTGGAGGTTTTTACTTGAAGCTCAAAGTCAGACGCCTTTTTGTTGACCGTCTCCGCAGCAATAGTGAGCTCCTTGACCAGCTCCTCCTATTTTACCTCCCGGGCTTTAGTCCTTATTTCATGCATAGTACATTTGTATTGAGCAACATCAAGGGTATCAGCCGCTCGTTTATTAGTGTCTCTTATCTCCTCTTACTACTTTCTGAAAGGGACTTTAAGCCCTTCCACCCTCAGCATTACCTGCAAAACCTCAGCCGACAAAGTGGTAATTTCTCTATGATAGCACATCCGGCAAAAAGACTAAATTATATCAAATACACCAGCCGGTGGAAAGCTAATTTGGCTTCGTTACCCCAACCGGCAATTACCTCAGCAAGCAAGGCGTTGATGCGGTCCATGTTGACCTGATGCACCCCCGGGATTGCCTCCTTCTCGGACCGGGTGAGGGTCCTCAGCATCCTTCTGGAATAATTTTGGAGATCAGGCCATCTTGGAGTGGCATCTGCACCAATAGAGTGATATGGTGAGATAGCAGCATAGGCGCACCTAAATTCTGCCGACTGCTAGAGGAATCCCCTGATTGGGTAGCTTGGGACTTGACTCGCATAGGCCCAAGCAGCCAGGGGGGATCAAAGCTGAAGGTCATACCTTGGTTTTCAGACTAAGGGGTCACCCTACCCCCAGCTGCATTGGAATCGGTTGCAGCAACAAGTGGTCGGCTCGTGGGCGTCTTAGGTACGCCCGGCTCTTGGTCCACCGTCTCGGTGTTCAGACCGAGATCTTTCAGGCTTTTGCCTGCTGAGGTTGGCTAGTCAGGTACAGGCGGCCTTGAGGAAGCTGCCTGGCAGGCGGAACCTTCCTTGCTTTGGAAGGAGCCTGGGAAGGTTCCTCAACCCTCCGTTTCAGCATTTTGGATATGAAGCGAGGAACATTCTTGCTTTCAGCCTGAAAAAGGTACAAAATGACCACAACCGATTAGTAGTAGCCTGAAGGCACAAATCTTTGCAAGTAAAAGGCACAACCGGAGCTTACCCCATCATCTTTGGCCACCAGTTAGGCTCTCTTCTTTTCCAGCTGATCCTTCCGGATCTGGGCTACAGATCTAGCAGGAGTCTTCTCAGGCGGCACCATCTCTAGACCTTTTTCTGCAAAAGAACAATTAACAAGTCAACTACATCAGAACCAAAGAGACGGCATCAGAAAGCCGGTTAAATAGTTCTACATACGTTTGCTAAAAAGGGTGCTAAGGCTGCAGGTGGAGAGGAAAGCCTCATTCTTGAGCCAGTCCGGATGGGGTACCTAGTTCTTGGGTACAATTATTTCAGAACCATCATCCAGAGGCATGGTGGTCCTCTTAAAAAATTCGGCTCCATTATTTGTGTCCAGGCTTCCTCAAGGACACGTGGAAGGACACACTTTTTCCCCAGGAGATCCGGCTCCTTATTATACTGGCGGAGCTGATGGTTCAGATGTTTAGAAGGGGAGGAAACCAAGTAAAACTTGCTTTTCCAATTGCTCCACTTAGACGGCTTGTCCAGTGTCATCATATACTCCGGATATACTCCGGATGGGTGGTTAAAGTGTACCACGCCTTCTAGCCGCCTGGGGCATAGCTCAAGTAATGCATATGTGCAAACGCCTCCCAACTGGGCGTTATGTCCTGCATCACGCAGGCGGCGACATAACTTAAAATATTCACCCAAGACCACGCCTTCTAGCCGCCTGGGGCATAGCTCAATAATGCATATGTGCAAACGCCTCCCAGCTGGGCGCTATGTCCTACATCTCGCACGCGGCGACATAACTTAAAATATTCACCAAAGAATTGGATGTTAATTGCCAAACGCCAAGATCATAGCCCCTTAAAATGGCTTTGACTGCGTCATGAAGGGGGAACCGGAGGCTGGCTTTGAATGCCGCCTCATAACAGCCGAAATAATTGTCGGCATCATCTAAGTCGTCATCCCAGACGACGGTTACCTCAGCACGGCACCAGAATTTCCCACTTATCCCCAACCGAACATTTCTCTAAAAAGGTGGGAAAGGTGGCTGTAAGGGTGACAATGTCTCTAGCAGACATGTGCACCTCAGTGGGGTTGGTTATAGCCGGCCACTTGTGTGCATCCTCCTCACCAGCGACATCCGCCTGCAGTGAGGATGACTCCTCTGAGTCAGATTGCTGGACGGTCTCAGCGCCGTCTCCACCATCAGACTCTTCCAATATGTCGTCGCTTGGAGTGTTGGGTGCACCCGGAGGACTGTAGTACTCTATGTCAACCGGCACCCCAGCTGAGCCGTCTGATATATATTTAAGGTCAAATGTCGTCCGCTTCGTCCGAGCCATACTGTCCTGCACATGCACAGAGACGGTTGGATTCGAGAAAGAGAGAGGGTGGTCCAAACACCCCTACACGGCATCCTCAGTCCTAGACTCAGCCGTACCAGGAGACCGGCTGACTACTGTCCTAGGTCGTGCCGTGTGTGTGGTGGGTGAGTCCATTAAGCATACAGACGGAAAAGCTCAAAAGAGTTGCAAAGGGTAGAGACGGTACCTCAAATATGTTTTAAACGTGAAGCAGGTTGACCGGTTGAATCAACAGGCGGAGAAAAGTCAATTGCTTGCAAGATACCCAGACGGTTTCCCGGATGTACCCACTTGGAAAGCAAGAGAAAATTGTTGAAAATATACCCAAGCGGTGCTATGAGGCTCTGCTTAATGCTACCACAGGTTAATGCTACCAAAGACGGTTGACCGGCTTTAGGTGGTTTGAAAGCAGGGGAATCAGCTGAAGTATACCCAGACGGTTTTGATGCGCCTTGAGTGATGATAGCACAGGCGGTAACCGGTTGAGTCAGGAAGTAGCAAGTGGTTATGAAAGTAATGGCAGCCAGTCTTAGAGCTCTACGTTTACTCTCTCTCTCTAAAATTTTCTCAAGGATGTAAAATGAGGAGAAGGAAGGGGGAGGTCTTACTTATAGAGGAAACTCCCCCAGAAGGCGAACTGTCGCTTCCAAAAAAAAAACAAAAGAGGAGAGACGAACCGTCGCCTTCTCAACTTGTGACACCTGTCACAGGTGCCACGTGGCCTGCCACATCGCATCTGTGAGCGGCAAATGTTTAGTGTAAAATACCCAAGTCCACGTGGCCCTATTAGATGGTGACATGTGTCACCCTAAGAAAAGTTCGAAATGAACCAATCCTCTGCTGACACGTGGTACCCCATGTCCAAAGGCAGAAGATGGCCTTCTTGGCCCAATACATGAATCAGCCCACCAGCCTTTGGGTTCCATAACCTAGAAAGGGAGGGGGGGGGGCTGATCTTCAAACCCTATATATAGGGAGATATCCTCATTTATGAGGGGATATTCAGAAATATTCACAAAACAGAGCGATATTAATTGCAGATTCTCTCTCGAAATCCGAGAAGACTCTTTACTTTCCGCACTCTAAACTCTGTCCATACACACATACCTAACTTGATCGTCGGAGGCCAAACTCCACCCAACCGGAGCCTCCGTTGTTTTGCAGGTAGAGACGTTCAGCATCCAGTCTTGGAATCGTAACTCTCTCGAGAGACTCCAAAAACCCCAAAACACCTTGCGTGTTATGAACTAATGAGAACTTTAAAAATGCTTAATGAAGGTTAATGCTTTAATCATTTTATGGGCAGCAATAGCATTTTATTTCGCATACAATGGAACATTGTTCTGTGTTCCTTTCGAATTGATGCCTATCATTTTAATGTACATCTCAAGTTCTCTAAATTGTCATTTAAGGGGCAACTGTTACATTTTTTATCATTTTAATGCACATTTAATGTTTTCTAAAGTGTCAAATAAGGGGTAGCTGTTACATTTATTCTCATATATTGGAGCATTTTTCTTCTGTAGTACCTTTTGAGTAGATGCCTATCAAATGCACATTTTATGGTCTATACTCTATATAGGGTGCCAGGCTCGATCAGGTGGATAGGGCTAAACATCCCCGAGTTCAAAGATAAATTTTTGAACTTGCAAAGCAGTGTAAACTTGACCCACAAAAATTTTAAACGACAATGCACGAGTGTAAGAACTAGTTTCAAGCCAAAAAAGAAGTCTGATTGAGCATAGCAATCCTCCAAAAAACAAAACAATGCAAGACAGCAACATAACAAAACGAGAACCAAAATGTGTCAAGTTGCTGTTTAGAAAGGTATCTAAGCCTAAACTACCAAAAGGAATTTTCCACCAGCTGCAGCAATCCAATGCGTCTGCATCTTAAGATACCAGGTTGTCATTGAGTGACAATGAAGCCAACTGATCTGCAGGATTACCACCCTGCTGTTGTGCAACATTCCTCAGAACTTCCATAGCCTCCGCAACTTTGGCCTTCAATGCATCTGGAGACTCAAGCAAATGCAGAACTTCAGTCTGGTCCATCTCTAGTAACATACCAGTCACCTTGGCAGCATTGTCATGCTCAATGGCATCCACCAGAGGGTACAAGCTTTCTCCGAGCATCTAAAGATGAAAAGAAAAGGTTGCCAGGTCAATTTCAACCACAAATCTACTGCAAGGCAAAATAATTGAAAACCTATATACATCATTGAAAAATCACAAGCAACATACTGTTCTTTGTTGCTCAGGAGATGCATTAGCCAAGGCAGTTGCTAATGCAGTGATGGGCACAGGCTGAGCAATTCCAGTATCACGGATAGGCATGCCGGCCATGTCATATCCAGGAAGCATAGTCCCAGGCATTGGGACTTCTGGCATGTTCCTCCCTGGTGGGTAACGATACACACGCCCCCTTGGAAGCATCTGAAATATCACAATAATTACATTTTATGCAACAGAATTGATAATGTCAAGCATCAAAACTGATAGAATTTAACTATACCTGCTGCTGCATCATTGGGACAGGCTGCTGATTTTGCTGTCCAGGACCAGCACCACGTCTACCTCCTGGGCGCTGACCCTGCTGACCCTGCTGCATAAAAGGCACAAAGAAATTGGGCATTGGGGCAGCTCCAGGTCTCACTCCAGGTACAAGCTGCTGTTGGTAGCCAAATCCACCCTAGAGCACAAACAAAAATGTTGAAATAATTAATAACAAATTTATATACAACACAAACAAAAATTTATTCTCAGATTTGAAGTACAACAGCTCTATGGTCCTTACTTGTGGAGGAATCATAGGTGGTGCTTGCCCATAGAAAATCTGTTGGCCAAGGCCAGGTGCTCCTGGAGGGTACATTGGCATTCGGGGACCAACAGAGGGTGCCATAGCTATTGGCCTCATTTGCGAAAACTGAGCCTGCAAAATAAATAAGCAAGCTATGATCATCATGCTAAACAATTCAGAAACAAATCAGAGGAATAATGGTAACCGTAGGTATCACATGGTATTGTAAAAGTGTTTTCTTAACCCTGCCGTCAGAAGCCATTCTTTTATTTTTATCAAGAAAAAAAACACGGCTAGTTGAGCATTACAAACCCATGATATGATGAGACTAACATATTAGCTAAACCTGTATTTGTCAATTGCATACATACAAACATAATAAAAGTAACATTCAGATTGTTTTCCAAATCTAATGAGGTGAATAGAAAATGGGAAAATCAGTCATGCAATATTCCAAAACTAATCAAAGCAACACAGTAGATGAAAGGCACCCAAACAAATGCTTCATCCTTTTATGGATCTTTCGTACTTCGAACACTATTCATACAAAATCAAATGTCAAAATTTGCAACGTTATTGGTCATTGATTAGCCTTAAATTTATATTTCAAAATCAATAGTATACATTGTTTCAAAAAGAAACAAAATAACTCTAGCACGTTTCAGGATCTTAGAGCTACTGTTGTATATGATATGAAAATCAAAAGGGGTGGATCCAGACGTTCACCTGCAAGCGAGCTCTTCTTTCTTCTTTACGCTGCGCTAGGGCAACATACAAAGGCTTGCTGACAATAATTTTTCCATTCATCTCGGCAAGCTGAGAAATTAAAATAGCTATCAATACTTGAAATTTAACATACACCAACATTTAACCATAAGTCTAAGTGAATCACAAGGAAACAGACTTACAGCTCGGGATGCCTCTTCGGGGTTTGAAAATGCCACAAAGCCAGATCCCTTACTTATTCCGCTAGGATCACGCATAACCTGTAGACATTCAAACAATAATTAAGACCTGCTACATTTATCATAGACGGGCACTAGATATGTTGAACACCTAAATACCTTGCAAGATGTAATTTTTCCAAACTCTGCAAACATCTCCTTAAGCTTCTCATCATCAACAGTATCATCCAAGTTCTTGATGTACAAATTGGCACCCTGGTACTTGTCAGCAGCTTCCTTCATGGTTTGCTCAAACTTTCCCTTCAGCTCCTGCTCCCTTTCAGATTTCTTCTGTGCCTTCCCAACATACCACTCTTTGTCATCAAATTTCTTACCATTTAATGCCTCAACTGCATTGGCAGCATCTTCAGCATTATCAAAGTTCACAAATCCAAAACCTTTTGATTTCCCATCTGCATCCCTCATCACCACAGCACTGGTTATAGGTCCATATTCACCAAAAACTTTTCTCAGGTCATCATCGGTAGTTGCTTCGCCCAAATTCTTCACATACACATTGTTGAATCTTGTTCCACCCAAATTGGAATCTCTTTCCTGCTTACGAACAAAGTGCCCAACATACACTTGTTTATCATTGATCAGCATCCCGTTTAGCTTCTCTATGGCTTTTTGAGCAGCTTCTTCAAGATCAAACTGAACAAACCCAAATCCCTTAGACTGACCATTAGAATCAGTAGCTATCTTGCATGACAGGATGTTTCCAAAGGAAGAAAATGTGTCATGCAAAGCTTTGTGGTCAATGGATTTGTCCAAATTCTGCAAAATCACAAAAGATCAGAAAATATTCAGAGATTAAAATTGCTAAGCTGGACCAAGGAGGTTCCCAAACCCAAGAGACCTTTCTTTAAAAGATACTCATTGAAAAAAGGCAAAGGACTGAAGATAAATAAATGATAAAAAAAAATCTTAAATGGAAACATAAATCTTTCAAAAGAAACCAAAGCAAAAGCAAGACGAGCTATTTACAAGAAAAAAATAATCCTTTACCTTGATAAAGATATTACCAGACCCACTTTTACGAATACTAGGGTCTCGGTGAGAGTACATGACTCTAATAGGCTTTCCATTCAGAGGAGTGAAGTTCAACACATCCAATGCCCGTGCAGCTGTAAGGCAAAAATTGAACCAGGACTATAAGAAATTAGAAAATTCAGTAATTAACAATAATGATCTACTAAGCAAAAATCCATACAGAGCAACTTAGAACTTTAAGGCCTACTAACCAACAGCCTATAGCTAAATTTAATTCTCAATAATTATTTTAAATGAAATATTACAACTTTTAAAGTTGATTTATATTAGGCCTCCTTTGTTCAGTTAAAACAACAAACTTCAACAAACACATCATAAAAAAGAATGATTCACAGTTGGTAACATGTCCTAACAACTTTATCATTTCTATAATAAAAAGAAACAATATATAGAACAGACACCAAAGATTTAAATACCATACAATCAGACAGATAAATTACAAATAATTTGTATTACAGATTTAACCCAATATTAAATTAGATTACGCGGGAACATAATGACATATGGTAACTTAATTAATTTATCACAATATCCGAGTAATAACTATCTTAGCACAATTTCCAGTTTCTCACATCTCAATACCTGAACAACAAGAAATTCAGCCAACTACACCTATATAACACGCAGTACAAACACGTGGCAACAAACAAGATAAGACATGTAAATCACACCCCAATAGGATAATACGGAACACTATACTATCATTGCACAATCAACAAACAAGATAAGATATGTAAATCCAGAATCCAGAATCATGGCAACAAACAAGATAAGACATGTAAATCCAGAATCAAATGCTGCAAGCGGAGACACAAACAACATTGCACAATCAACAAACCACGAAAGGAAATGATCCACAATCGCCAATTCATATACCGGAAAACAGAAAATCTTCAACCTGGGAGTTTATATACATTACAGCATAATTATCTAAACAGCGTATTAAATTTAACTATGACTTAAAACACAATCAACCTAACAACATTGATTCATTAACAAGTCATTAGAATTCAGTAAAATTTACGCCGAATAGTAACAACATGCAGCAATCAACAATGCAGACAAATAAACATCAACAGCAATCAAACGCAGAAATCATTTCAAAACCAAATCGAAACAAAAACACAAAAATAATAATTTCTGCCATTAAAATCAACATTAAACAAAAGAATATCGAGAAAAAACGAAGAGAACAAACCATCTTGAGGGTTGCTGAAGTTGACATAACCATATCCAAGAGATCGGCGAGTTGATAAATCCCTGCAAACCCTAACAGAAATAACCTGACCAATCTGGTTAAATAGATCGTAAAGCTGCGAATCATTGACATTGAAGTCGAGGTCACCGACGTAAAGCGACGTCGTAACAAACGCCGCAGCACCAGCACCACCATTGCCAGCAGCACCAGCACCAGCGGCGCCATTGGGGTTCGCCACTCCATTAGGAGCACCCGCAACTGGAGCCGAAGCCGAAGCCGAAGCCGGAGTCTGAACTTGAGCCATTTCTAACAAAGCACACAAATAAATCAACACAATTTTCTACTGATTTTTTATAAAGGATACTCTCTCAATCTCTCCTCGAATAATAATATCAGTTGCAAAAAAAAAAAAAAAACGATAAAACCCTAGAAATGACACTGATAATTTGTGAAAACCCTGTAAATATTTTTTGGGAGATTTTGGGTGATAAATTGAGGAGAGAGAGTGATAAATCGTCGTGAAAATTAAACGACGATGAAAAAGAAGGGAGAAAAATGGAGAAAAGAATGAATTTTTTTTGGTGTTTTTGATGAGAGGTTGGGAGGGCAGACAGACGGGGGGACTGCACCGCAACCCGGGAATGAATAACAGTTTGGTTTATATACCAAGGAAGATGAAGATGGTGGGCTTTTGTTGGGCTTGTGAGATTGAAAACCCTAGTGTGTCATAAGTAAATCTTTGCCGTTGGATTGGGATTGGTTTTAGTCAATTGATTGTTTTTTGGTCAAAGGAGTGATATCATATTGATAATCACAGGTTTTATGATGCAAGGTGGGATTCGATTGATGACTACTGATTTTGTAGGGGGAAGTAGGGGATCTTATACTGCACTAGTACTATTTTTAAGGAAAATTTATTACTCTTCTGTTTCGTATTAATTACAACACTTTTTTTTTATCCGTTTTATATTAATTGCAACACTTTTATATTTGAAAACGACCCACTATTACTTTATAATTTCTCTTTTCCACTAACTCCACTTTCACAAATATTTTATTATTTCTCTTTCCTATCAATCCCACTTACACTACTTTTTTATTATTTCTCTCTCTTACAAACAATACTTTATATAATAAAATAAAATCCTCTTTTAGACCTCACCCTATAATTTTCTTAAACTTTGTAAACACTTAGTATTGCGATTAATACGAAACAAAGGTAGTAATAATAAGTTAATCTTTAGTTGTTATTCTCAAAATAAGTCAAATTTTTAATTAACTCGAAATAAATCGACTTTTATAAAATATCTTCTCAAAATGAGTTAAAATCGGTTGGGTTAGAAGGTAAATAGTTATTTGGGTAAATTATGTTTTTTGTATGCCACGTGTCATAACGTTGTTGGCTCTTTTTAAATTATATTAAATTTATTATTGTTATTAATTACTTCCTCCGTTCCATTAATAATGCAACAAGGATGAAATTACGCATCCCAAAAACATTTTATATGTTAAATATGTATAATTCTATAAGAGTAAAAATTATAAAAAGTTGATATTGTGTAAGTATTTTACGAGACGAATTTAACAAGATCTCATATGAATATATTTTACTTAATATATAAAGCGTAATATGTGATCAAACAAGCGTGATAAATAGTGCAAAAGTCCAGTTGTTGCAATATTACTAGAATGGAGGAAGTATGAAAAAACTGTATTTTTTTCAATTTTACAAAAAAATAAAGGAAATAATTTTTAAAATAGTAAAATACCTTTTCTTTCTCCTCCTCCTCCTCCTCCTCCTTTCCGGCTTCCCCAGCCATCCCCCTTTTACTTTCAACTGTAACCACTCTGCCCACCTCCCCGTCGGGCAATTAGTAGCACACCACTCCTTTTCCCCGCCTCTCCTTCCCCTACCTCCCTATTGTTGTAGTAAAGAGAGTAAAATACATCTTCCCACTTTCTCTTTCGGGACTTCTTTTCAACCTACTCTTCTGTTGTCACACCTGGCTTTGACTGAGATCTCATCTTAGCTGGGTTTTTTTAATGTAGTAATGTAGCATTGTTGTGCTGTTTTTAGATTTCCTCTCAGCTTTATAGATCTTTCGTCATTTGCTATGTAAGCCATTTCTAGGTGGTATTAAAAATCCATCATGTTTTGAATATGAATGGATTTTTAATGTCATATTTTGAATGTTTGAATTATTTATCATGAATTAAAAGGTATGATTTTAAAAGCATGTGCAGTGGAATTGAATAAAAAGGAGTTTTTGAGTTAACCTATTATAGAGGATTATTTATTGATTTAATTAAAGGATGAGTTTATAAGGGATTATTGAATTATTATTATTATTAAAGCTCTACAAGCATGATTATATTAATCCCACTATGCGGATTTGGTTGATAAGATTTTGAACTTTGTATGACCTAGTATGTCCTCAAAAATAGTCTTTCTACATAAGGATACTAATTTGGGGGGGGGGGGGTGTGCACACTTAGGAGAGGAATTGGGTTTTAAAAAGAGGAATTGATTTTATAAATCATTATTTTTGAATTATTGAGTTATTGGAATTGTTTTGAGAATCTTGAGAATTGGTTTTGAATTATGAGGTTTGGATTATTATTTGAATAAATATTAGAATTTTCCGTGATTGGTATTAAAAGCATATTTGCTAATAAATTGTGTTACTTATCTTGCACTTAAATGTACTTGGCATATTTTGCTTATTTGTATTTCAATTTGCATGTTTTGGTTCACCTTGTTTACCGTAATGGTAAGTAGTGATGAATTTTTCAGGTGGAGTCATGATTGAGCAAATTGGGAGTCATAGGATTCACTTAACCTAGTTTAGGGATGTTGGTTGTTTTGTCTTTGTTTTTTAGTACTCATAACAATGATTTTTATTTAAAGTATTAATAAAAGAAGAGTTAGGTTTTCCGCTGCAAGTTTTGGTATTGAGTTAAGTATTTTGAGTAGCCTTGCGTAATCATGCGCGCGGTAATGTGCCTAAGTTTATGTCTATAATATAATTATAAGTATTATACTAGTATTTCCGTAGGGGAAGATTTGGGAGTGCTATAGTGATATGGTCAGTCCTTTGCTGAAGTTATTTAGAATTGTTGTCATGGCTGTAAGTTGCTCTTTACTACACTTGGAAAGGTTTTGTAGTATAGATGGCATGTTTAAACTAGCTGAATGATTGGCTCATTATTCGGGCTTGTTACTGGCATTCCAAATTTAGAAGAAGAAACAAATCCTCCCGGATTCCCCTGTCCAACCACCGGCATTGTTGTGGCAGGCGTAGATCTGATCATCTTCTATGTTGTAGTTGATTTTGGTTTTTAGCTAGATCCTTTGGAATCTGTGGATTTTACGGTGTTTAGTTGTTTTTGGTTACTTTAGAGATAGGTGTGTGTACTACATGCTCACCTGCCATGGTTATAAACCAGTCGGTCCTACTCAGGTGGCGAACTTAAGTACGGACAATCTTGGCCCCTCCTTCTAGTGCCAATTGTTCCAAGACTTGTACTGTGCGGTTTGAGCTAGGGATAGGTTGTTCGACTAGGATACTTGCACAGGCAACACGCGTCACTGCCCTTGGGGTGGCTTGAGGAACCCCCCTTTGATGATGGATATTTTAGGTAGTTGGATTAAAAAACACCTTCAATCAAAAACAAATTTATAATACCTAATTAAACCTAACACTAAACAAGAGTCTAGTGGCAAGTCAAGGGTCGATCCACGGAGAACGGCTAATCACCACAATCAACACCAACAACTAAGCTAGGCAAAAAAGGGGTAAGAAATAAATGACAACTAACACTACAAGACCAGACTAGACTAAGACAAAAGCTAAAATGCTAAGGAGATGGGTAGGTATAAGCTTCACTCAAGCAAGTATAGGCATGGAATCGGAATGATCACAAACTAAGTATATTTGAATGCCAAATTAAGGTCAAATCTAGCCACCTATCGGAGTCAAAAGGTTTCTCCTAAAATAGCCTTTATGCTATCGCACTAGAACCATATACTAGGAGGTAAAATCTAGCACAATAGACAACAATGAATCTAGCAAGGTCCGCTATCGCATCATCAAGCATCAATTCACCTTCAATTCACCAACAACATGCATTTTGCAAGCAAATTGAAGAATATCAAACATACAAAGACTTTAATCATGATCAAACCAAATCATATAGCTAAAACAGGCTCAAGCTTCAATTATACCATCCCAAAAACCTTATCAAAGAGATTTCTTGATAAGTGCTATTTATGGCACTCATTTGATGAGTTTTTAGGTTCTTTTTACCTTCCTTTCATAGCTTTCTTTCTTAATAAATGCTTAGTTTTATTCATTTTCTCTTTAGTTTCCTTATTCTCTTTTATTTTGTGTTTTTGTGGATTTTCTAGTGTTTTCTCCTTCTTTTGTTTTCTTTTCGTGGTTGTAGGTATTGTACGAGGTTTGGGTCTTGATATCGGTGGCTTACTAAGTTGGAAGATGCCTTTGGAGTACGCTTATAGCATTGGGAAAGCTCAAGAAGTAAGAAAGTGGCATGCTCCCAGTTCTAGCTCTTGCGCTCTCAAGCCGCGCTCTCATGAGATCATAGTGTTGAACCCACAGTCATGTCCATTTGAATCTTCCATGCTTAGTGACTATCATGAAGACATTGTGTACGCACACGAGGAACTATTTGCAAGCGCATGAAGCTACGAGGAACTCGAAGAAACTCGAAAGAGCGCAGGCACGCAGCCCACTGCACATGGGCGGGCGCGCAACTACCTTGCACGGGCGCGTCTCCCTGGTTTTTGAATTTTCTCGATTTCGATTTCCCACCTCTTATAAATACCTATTTTAATCGATTTTTGTAAGAAGTTTTTAAACATTATTTTCCTCATAATTTTAGCTAGGTTGAGAGTTTCTCTCTCTAGTTTTAGGGTTAGTTTTAGGAGTAGATTTAGAGAGAGAAAGTGAGAGATTTTAATGGTGATTTGAGAGATTGATGATGCAAGAGTGACAATTGTATTGAAGATCTTCTCAATTATCAATGAGCATTTCTAACTTTATCTCATCTTATTGCTTTGTTTAATTTCATATTTGTTTGATTTGGTTTTGATGATTGAATCTTGATTAGTGTAGTTGTTCTTCATATTTTTTTATTCTTGATTTCATTTACTTGCTTGTTGATTAGATGATGATTCTTGAGTAGTTGTTTTGCTAGGGTTTGGGTGAAACTTGTATGAGTGATTGTTTGTGATGGATTTGGGAATTATGTTGATTGATTGTTGAGATTAAAGTAAGTTTGCAT